TGTGCCCCTCTGGCAAGATTTTCTGCTCCTGGACTATCTGGGTGGTTCTATCCTCTATACTTTCTGCAGGGATTGCAGCTGCAGGGTTACACCCCAGGCTTGTATGCCAGGCCTGTGGCCTGTGCTGAGCCTGGAGGGGACAAGGTAGTGTAGCAGGGAGAGGCAACTCTCCCACCACTCACCAGACCTGGGCTAGGACTGGGTCTGGGGGTTCCCGGAACGGGGCAGAAATTCCTACTGGGTGGGTGGGGTGGGGGAGGTGCTGCAGAGTGGTGGGGGGGGTGTCCCAAGGGGGTGGAAGAGGGTCTCACCCACCCTGCGCCTGGGCTGGAGCCAGTAACATGTTCCACTGGCCCAGGGTAGCAGGAAGCTCTCCCACACAATCACCGGGCCTGGGTTAGGACTGGGTCTTGGGGTTTCCAGAATGGGGCAGAAATTCCTACTTGGTGGGCGGAGTGGGAGAGGTGCTGCGGAGTGGTGGGGGCATCCCAAAGGGGTGGAAGAGGGTCTCACCCATGCTGCGCCTGGCCTGGGACCAGCATTAGGTCCTGCCAGTGCAGGGTAGCAAGATGCTCTCCCACACACTCACCAGGCCTGGACTAGGACTGGGTCTTTCAAAATTGTTTTTTAAAAAAGAAGAAAGGGTGGCTGGTGACACAGCCCAGCACAAAGGTTCTGGGTTCAATCTGTATTAATGAAAAGAAAAACAAAACAAACAAACTCTGGGGTGTTTACATTCCCATGGAAGGAGAGAATCAATTAGAAATCAAAGCAAGGGCGGGTGAGATAGCTCGGCGATCTAAGCACCTGCCTGGCAAGTGCAGGTACCTCGGTTCAATCCCCAGTATAGCATGCTGTGCCAGGCCTGGAACCCCGCACATGCATGCCGGCCACTGAAACCGAGCGTAGTGATGCACACCTCTAATTCCAACCCTGGGGAGGCTGAGACAGGAGGATCACTATGAGTCCGAGCTGTGTAGTGAGACCCTGTACCTTACAAATAAATGCATAAAAGATTTTTTTAAGAAATCAAACCAGTACAGAGACAGTTTATAATGTGCTGCCAGCCTTTAATTCCACAGGTTATTGTGGTGATTGTACTGCACATAGAACCTAATGGGCAAGTGATACATTGTCACAATGACTAATTTTTACATTGTTCCCTGGTAGCTTTAGATCCTTCCAACACTTCTCTGTAGTTTCCCTGGAAGCACTGTTCAGTTATTCAGTCAACAAGGACTTTTAGAAGGCTCAGGGATACAAAGGAGTCCAGGGAGAGCACGTGGCCCCTGTCCTTGAGTGCTCCCAGGCCCAGCCGCTGCACGAAGTGAGGCCCACAGGAGCCCCTGCCTCGTGAGTCTCTGACCCCCAGCTGCCCACCCACTCATGATGTCTCTTAACCCCGTGTATCCCAGCCATGGCTGGTGACTCTAGGAACGCTATGAAGCAGGACATGGAGATCGGAGTCACCTCCCGGGACCCTAAGAAGATGCCCAAGCAAGCCCGTGACGACGCCCCCCTAGCCACAGACCGCACGCGCCTGCTGGCCGAGGGCAAGCGGCCACGCCAGCGCTACATGGAGAAGAGTGGCAAGTGCAACGTGCACCACGGCAACGTGCGGGAGACCTACCGCTACCTGAGCGACCTCTTCACCACGCTGGTGGACCTCAAGTGGCGCTTCAACCTGCTCGTCTTCACCATGGTCTACACCATCACCTGGCTGTTCTTCGGCTTCATCTGGTGGCTCATCGCTTACATCCGGGGCGATCTGGACCACGTGGGCGACCAAGAGTGGATCCCTTGCGTGGAGAACCTCAGCGGCTTCGTGTCTGCTTTCCTGTTCTCGATTGAGACCGAAACTACCATCGGGTACGGCTTCAGGGTCATCACGGAGAAGTGTCCCGAGGGGATCGTCCTCCTCCTGGTGCAGGCCATCCTGGGCTCCATCGTCAATGCCTTCATGGTGGGGTGCATGTTCGTCAAGATCAGCCAGCCCAAGAAGAGGGCGGAGACCCTCATGTTCTCCAACCACGCGGTCATCTCCATGCGCGACGAGAAGCTGTGCTTCATGTTCCGCGTGGGCGACCTCCGCAACTCGCACATCGTGGAGGCCTCCATCCGGGCCAAGCTCATCAAGTCGAGGCAGACCAAAGAGGGGGAGTTCATCCCCCTGAATCAGACGGACATTAACGTGGGTTTCGACACTGGGGACGACCGTCTCTTCCTGGTGTCCCCACTCATCATCTCCCATGAGATCAATGAGAAGAGCCCCTTCTGGGAGATGTCTCGGGCCCAGCTTCACCAGGAGGAGTTCGAGGTAGTGGTCATTCTAGAAGGGATGGTGGAAGCAACTGGTAAGATGTTCTGTCTGCAGCCACGCGATCCCCTCACCCCTCCCAGGAGCTTAAGCCACAGAGTCTTTAGGAAGTGGCCTGGGAGAACCTGGAGATGGTACATACAGGCAGCCTATCCGTTCCCCGGTGTGATCTGAGGTGATGGTTACTCAGGATCAACAGCTGGCCTACGCTGAGCCTGCAACTTCCAGGCCTGGCTCTAGACTTTAAGCGTCTGTCCTCACACTTGGTGTCCTCTGCACCCCTGTAAATAGTGTACAGTAAGAAACAGAGGCACAGACACAGCAGGTGCTGCTGAGTCAAGGGCCAGGGTGCAAATCAAGCCAGGGGCCCCAAATATGATGCTGTCTTCCAACAGACCATCACACCCCCCCATCCTGGAGCAGGTGTCCTTGGGAAGCCTGAGAGGACACAGAGGTGAGCTGGGTCTGTAGGCCAGGACTTGACCACATCCGTGCACACTGTGGATCTCATCACCAGGAAAGGAGCCCACATTTTCTAAACTCAAAGTGATATGCACAGTCCTTTGGGGAACAGGGGTCCCCCTATGGTCCCAATCTGGCAGGGGCTCCTCCTGTTCACACCTTTCTGAAGCAGGAGGCCTCTCTCTCTCAGCACCCTTCCTACTGGCTGGCTCAGGAAGCCAAGGTGTGCAGGAGCCCTTGCTTACAGTAAAGCCGAGTGCACCCATGCATCCTCAGGGAGATGCTTGCCTGCGGCCAGCCTGGCCCCTCTGCTCAGCTGCCAACTCTCACAGGCAGCTGAGAGCCAAGAGCCTCACTCCTCAGCCACACCTCCAGGGGAGTTCTCTCTAAGAATCCCAGGGCCTGAGGGTGCCTGAGCTCTGCTGTGAGCACAGACCCCAGCACTTCATCAACTCTTGGGGTTCCACTTCTTGGGCAAGCGAGGCCCCCAGCAACCCCTGGACCTTGCTTCTTATTTCCTTTCTTCCCTTTCTGTTTTTCACCCAACAGACTGATCAGCAGGTCCAACCCTAACAGGGCTTTATCCAAAACCTACCCATGCTCAGAACACTCTTTTGTTTAATTTTTGCAAACATCACCAGTCTGGCTTTCGGCCCATACTATAGATATAGCTGCTGAGCCTCATGAGCATCACCTCATTGTGGACAGTGAGAGCTCACAATTGGGCCCCTCAGGTACAAATCTAGAGCTCCTATTGGAGTACCACACTGGCCTCCCAAATGTCAGGCGCCTGTCACCAAGGTGGCCAGCTGCATCAGCCTGGCCCTTGCAGCTTGTTTCTGGGTGGAGGACTCAGGCCCTCCATGCACATGCCCTCCTCAGGGCCAGTGGAGCTGATGGGCAAATGTGGTGCAGGGCAGTGTTGTGGGGCTCTGGACACTATGCCAGAGGGCGCTGCTTGGCCATCTGCTGGGGGTCGAGCCTGGTCAGGCAGCATATGGTGGCAGCTGCAGGGGCCTCTGGGGCTGCAGACAGTCGGGACATGGGAAGCTGGGAGCTCCAGGTCACCTTGCCCTTGGTGAGTCAGGATCAGAACACAGTCTGTCTCTGGGGCAAGAGCTCTACTCTGAAGTCGCAAAGGTGGGATCAGGTCAGAGATTCAAAGCCAAGGAGAAAGCCATGCCTTGCTTTCTGCAGCTGTGCAGAATACCCAGTAGCTCGGGCCCTGCTGGCTCCTCCCCTCACCCTTCCTTCAAGACTTCCACTGAGTCATCGGAGGTGCTTGGCCTCCTTCCTGCACACAGACTTGGCACCCTTGTTCCGCCCACTGTAGGGGGCAGTCACAGAGATCAGTGAAAGAGGCCATGTGCCCACACCTGTTCTGAACTCAACAGCTTGCATGGTCTGGTTGCCGAGCTCACAGAGCTTGGGTGTGGATTCAGGGCTAGTTTTGGGAAGCACTGATCTGCCACAGCCTGTGCCTGACTTCTTTGGGCAGGTGGCTTGACTTGTAGGCAAAATGAGGCAAATCAGCCTCATGGTGCTATTGGGAGGATTATATGACCAAACAGGAGTGCAGGGAAAGCACAGGGCTGGACATGATATAGTGAGAGTCTTTGCCTATCTGGTGACAGTGACAGAATCTCAAGCAATGAGGAATCTAGTGCCAAGGCGGCCCACCATTGCATCCCTAGGGGAAGGACAGGAAGGAAAGCTGGAAGAGGCCAAGAGGGCTGCCCCAAAGTGGCCTGCAAGGGTCCTGCCCACTGCAAGCCTGGGCCAGGCTGGTCAGTGCCTAGCTTGTGTCCCTGTGCCTCTGAGAGGCGTGGGATGGCAGTGATGGGTGAGGACAGACTGGGATGGAGGAGGTATCCCCCAAGAGCAGAGAACAGGCCACAAGCCCCCTGCAGGTGGGATCCTGAGGTATGCAAGCACTGGGTCACAGTTAGGTTGGGACACAGCCTTTGTCTGGGTCTGGTTTGTGTGACACCCCTCCCAGAGAAGGCCCAGGGGGAGGCTGGAGAAGGCTTTCCTGTAGTGTCCAAACAGCACATGCCAGGACCTTCCTAGGCCAGGAGATTAAACAAGAAGCTGGCTTCCTGTGACCTTGAGCACAGAGGTTACCTCATCTGTACACAAAGCAATGCCTAAACATAACACAGGCTTGGCCTGGGCTGTGTGGAGCAGGAAAGGAGGCAATGGAGTGTCCCCAAACCAAAGAGACAAGCTCTGTGTGTGTGTGTGTGTGTGTGTGTGTGTGTGTGTGTTCCTCTGCACTGTGTGCACTCGTGTGTGTAGTCATAAGTATGGGTATGTGTATTTGTGAGCACATGGATGTGTGTGTGTGTGTGTGTGTGTTTTCATGAGTGTGCAGGCTTCTGTGTATACGTCTACCTGAAGCAAGCACTATTTGTCCCAAGTGCCTGTCAGCTCCTCTTTGTTCCCTCACTCTAAATGTATCTTTAATTTTTTTCCTATCTCTTCCTGTCTCAATCTTCTAGACCTGAATGCTGTTCTCAGGAACTATGTCCTTGCCTCTAATTCTACTTGCTTATGTTCCTTAGAGTATACTCCAGAGTCCTGCATGTTCATTTGTAATTCTATGTCCTCATCATATTTGAACTCCTTCAAATAAAAAATGATGTCTTATTCAGCTTTATACCTGAGATGCTTAGCACAAAGTAGATGTTCAAAAAGTACTGGATGGATGGATGGATGGATGGGTGACTGGATGGGTAGATGGATGGATGGATGGATGGATGGACAGATGGATGGATGGATAGATGGATGGACAGATGGATGGATGGACAGATGGATGGATGGATGGATGGATGGATGGATGGATGGATGGATGGGTGACTGGATGGGTGGATGGGTAGATGGATGGGTGGATGGATGGACAGATGGATGGATGGATGGATGGATGGATGGATGGATGAATGGATGG